TTCAACTGGTCAGCACCCACTCCCCCTTGCTGAATTCTTGACCAGTAGCTTTCGGCGATCCGTTCTTGGCGGTAGAGCGCAGTTCCGTTCCAATAGTCGGTTAGAATAACCGCGAATTTGCAACAACTGACATGCGATTCTGATAAATTGCGATGTGCTTGACGCGCCTGCCTTCTGCGTGTACAGAGTCGATCGTTGGAGCGATCTTAATAATACCGTCTGCCTATATCTCTTGGTAAGCCCCGGTTGACCAGTGTCAGTGTTCCGCTGAATTCTTGAGCTATCTTTCTGGTCCGGGTTTAGTTATTGGCTCTCTCTGTGCTTTGCCTCGATTTAGATTACTGACATATTTGACCTGCCTGGTGCCTACTTTTTAGTCAAGTTTAACGAGTCTGTAATGTTCTTTGCCACCTCTGTTTTGTTTGTACCTATCATTTAATAGGGTGGAAATGAACAGTTAGGAGGCATAGACTATGGGAACATGATTCGACCCTTTTTCGTGCCCCTTGTAATAAATCTAGCGATTTTGGCTCGTGTTTCGTTACTAGAATGAAATGCATATATTATTTTTTGTTGAAGATTCTTTACATGTGAAAAATTTTGTTGACCAACTAGTGAATTGCCCTATGCATAGTAACATAATTGTGGAAGATCTTATAGATCCTAACCAATATAAAAAAAAAGAAAGGGGGAAGAAAGGTTGTGCAAAATATCTAATTATGTTGACTTCACTATCTCTAAGAGACAATTTGTAACTAAAATATCCTTTAATAATAAATGTGTCCAACTCTCATTTTCATTTCTTAATCTATTCTTGGTATTTAGACATGATCCCGTGTCCATGTCATCATACTCTTTCTTTTTCTCTAGCTGTAGATGGAAATCACACTTAATTCCTTGACGTACAAAGGTTCGATTCCAGATGCAATTAATCAATCAAGAAGGGAGAAAAAACTCTTTGTAATTTACATATCAGGTGAGTTTGTTGTTGAATTCAACATCTTGTAGCTATGCCATCTATGTCATCCTTTTTGGTAACCTGACAATGATAGGCAATATCCATGATTGTTCTGCATAAGGAAAATATACTATCCAGGACAATCCTGTCTGGACTGATATTCTACTATTTGAATGTAGTCCAGTCTATTGACAGGACATCTATTGTTTCATTTCAGGTCAAGATGAAATGTCAAGTAGTTTGGAACAGTCTACATTGGTTGATGAACATGTGGGTTCCCTTAAACTTCCTTCCTTGTACAGAAGATTATTTTCTGTTGTGGATTACATATTGAATTAGCAAATTGCTTATATGGGGTATTCGCAGGTGGCTGCAGTGATAAGCAGATGTTGCATATTCTTGCAACTAAAACAAGGCGATGTTGATGCGCTTCAATTTTCAGCTATCTGTATCCTTCCACACACATATTTGTTACGATACTGTGGTGATGATTGCTCTGGATTAGCTGCTGGATTGACAGCATGCTATTGATTTACAGCTCTAGATTAAATATTTGACAGTCTTCATCTATAAGCCTTAGTTCACAATTCTTTTCGATCGCGAAACATGTTAGTCACATCATACTGACATCATGGAGAGTTAGTGGTTTGATAGAAAAACATAAAATAATTTATCACAAATTGAAGTAGTTCTTCAAAATTTCCATGGCAAAAACAGAGAAATGGTTTGCTGTGATAAATATGTTGGTATCATATTTATGTAACACCACAAACAAAATTCGCGTAAAGGCTAGTCCTCATGTGCGATGGATCTACATATTGCCCTCTTGGGGTATCGTTCTTGTTTTGCCCAAAATGACCAGTCTTCAGTTACTCTGTTTTGATTCCCTAATTCAAGCATTATATGTAATCGGACTAACCCAGCAGTACTACTACACTTTGGTGGTTAGGCCTTTGGCACTTTGTTAGTGAGGTTTGAAGAAATGAATCATCCTTTTTTTTTGGTCTCATCTGATCTTAATTGATTATCGGACATATATCGTACAATCCATGTATGGTTGTCGAGATGTGTCCATGCCAAATGATCCAAATCCATTGGAACCTTTCAATTCCCAATCCTACATAGTATCTAATTTATGTTGATACATATGTTTTAGCTAGACTCATATGGTTTTGAGACCACATTGTTCGATCTATGACCCTACCAACATCATACAGTAGTAGAATCCCACGATACAGGTCTTGCCAACACAAAAACGAAGCATCTAACGTTCCCATCCCAGAGTCCTTCTGATCATGTTGGATTTGCTTATTCACTGCTATAGTTATAATGTGGGTGCTATGCGTCTATACCTGCCCTCGTACTTGTCATAGTTTCAGTATATTTCACGCACTTTTTAGCAGCTATTTTGGTACTTGTATGATGTATTTCATCTTAGCAACCATGAAACTGGTCTTGCAGCTAATGAAGAATCCGTTTGTTTATTCATGTCTATAATCACAATGTTCTACTTTGACTGTGCAGTTTCATCCTTGACTTTTTCTCAATCAGATCCACAGAAGTCTGTCCCAAGTATATCTGTCGTTGGACTGAATGGTGCTATGCTATGGAATCATGGTATGAATACAACTATGCTTCCAATTTTCTTTGTGGAAACTATCTTTTGTTAAGTGACAGTTTGGACCAGTGCTTAACTGAGTCTTCTGGCAGAGGGGTATATTAGCCCAGAAGATCTTAAGGAAAGCATTGATAAAGCTTGGGCTGCACTTCAACTGCAGGTATATAAACTGTAAAATATAGATCTGTTGTTAAAGTTTATTACAAGCCTGTTCCGTAGTTATTTTCAGTTGCATTCATTTCTATACTTGCACTCTTTTTATCACTTTGAGTGGCAGAGTTCAAATGGCAGGAAAGTTCTATTAGATAAGATACCGGAGAAATGGTAGGTGCAGCTTGCCTAGGTATAATTGCAATTATATGATGTTAACCAGCCAATCTCTAAGCAAATTACTTACTTGAAGAACTATAATTTGTATTGTCCCTGTGTCAACTCTTGGGGTAACGATTGAAAGACCAGGGTTGCAATTATACACACTGCATGATATAGGGGCTGTAGTAGGTTTGTGCGGGCAATAGCAAACTCTTAAAGGCGCTACAGCTGCACAAAGCGATAAGCTGCTGTACAGCACAATGTGCTATTTAAAGCACTATTTGGTACCAACAAATAGAACTATGTCGGTGAGGATATAACATAAATAGTGCCTCTTCTTGTCTCTTTTGTTTTGGTCAATTAATTGTCAAGTTTGTAAGTTAAATTAAATTCTGCCACATGCCAAATGGTATGACTTTATAATCATATCACTATAAATAAAAATATTTGGTACAAATCTGGAGTATTATTAATGTTCATGTGCATGGGTCAGAGAAAGTATATTAATCAATCTAAGAAGATAGGCGACTCTTTTATTAAAATTTAGTAATATACTCATGAGTGATCTGACCTCCTTAGATTCTGCTTGAGATGTTCTGGTTCCATAACAACAGTGACAAAGTGTCATTCTTGTATTGTTTAAGATTTTTACTTGTGTACTGTTACATCAAATCTGGCCTTTCCTTATTGAACTACAGGAAAAAGTATGTTTGAAAAAGAAAATAAGAGTGGTCTTCCTCTCCAGAAGAACCATAGGAAATCTTATAATTTTGTTAGTTGTTACTGTGTGATCTATGTTGGGTTATTCTTCACACTAGTGCAGTAGTGCTATAGATTTGCTAAATACGAGCTACTTAGGATCTTTTTAGGAGACAGCGGCAACCCTGTTAGCTGCATCACTTGCTTCAAGAATGTCTGAACCTGCGAATACTGCTTCGACAACTATGCCTGGTGAAGACGGTTCATCTACTTCAGAAAATCATTCCAATTCATCAGGTCAATCCTCAGAGTCTTCTGCCGTCCGTGGGTTTGCTAATTCTACTGATTTGGTAGCACAACCACCTAGTAGCACAAGCCATGCTGTAAGTTTGTCTGTCCATAGTCTGCTACCTTTCAGTTGAATGAAGTTTTGTTCTGTATAGTGCGTGAGATAGAGAAGCGATAACTCACTGCTTGCATATGCACCAGGAGCTTCTCAAG